AAACAGGAAAGATTTTGCTTTATCAGAAAGTAGATAAATGTTCTTCGCTATTCTCGCTTTTTCCCAATAAGAATACACAAAATGGACTGATAATGAAACGAAATTTATTCGAAGGAACTTAGCGGTTGTCGGTATCTGTATCATGCTCAGAAACAGTTCCCTGTAACTACCACTAATACATGGATAAGCTAAGCCCTTCAAAAACAAAAGAAAAGAACCGTACCACTCCTAAAGCTCCTCTGATGTTTTGATTCACATAACGTATGACGTTTTTTGCAGGCGGAAGTAATTTAGGGATAAAACTTGAGTTCATCAATCAGTTGTATGAATGTAGACTCAACTGCTGATGGTTCTTTATACGACCACCAGGTGAGCAAACAGTTCATCTATCAATTCACAAAAAAGCATAATGGCCGACACTCTGCCAGCGAATCCAGTGCTCATGATGAAGGGTTTCCTCCATCGTCTTCTTGTAGAACCGAGTTGAAGTCGTTCCTCGAACGGCACTCTGTGTTTGCAAAATGTGGGAAGCTACGTATTTGTGTTTTGTAGTTAAAATTAGCAGTCAAATAAAAAGCGTTAACATATGCGATGGAAATTCGACCAGATATTTTCAGCTATTTCATAGAAACACAGCGGAGTAGAGATATTTGCAAAACTTTGGACCACAGGTGTCTGAGTTGGAGAGCGAACGCGTTATTACACCTTCCGGAGCCTAGCGCGTCTACCACCACGCCATGCGGACCCTTTGTTTCGTCTGTCTCTCGGGTGGTTCTACTGATCTGCGCCATCAGCAATTGCCCGTCAAAGCGACTGATCAGGGCAGCCAAAATCGGCAATCAACCCAGTTAAGCTGAGACTGTATTCGAAGTCACAATGTTAACTTTTTATTTACTGCTTATTATAATTTTTCAAGCAGTGTATTATGTGTGATACAACCACAGTGGAGCTAAGATATTTGCAAAACTCCAGACCGCAGGTGTCTGCAGTAAATAAAAAGTAACTGGGTTCAGTGCCGATTCGAGCGGCCCAGATCAATCCCGTTGACGGGTGATTGCTGATGGCACTGATCGATAGAACCAGCTAAGAGAGAGGCATAACGAAAGGCCCGCTTGGTGTGGATCTTCAAGCACTAAACACATACACACAAAAGCTTTAACAGCTTCTCGAATGATAAGTGAAAGAAGATGAATGGAATGCTAGAAGCGCTGGTATTTGCAGAGTAGATGTGAGCGACGGGTCTCATATTTGGATACTAGCATACTTGGATGGCCTCTCTTCACTGATTTTAAGGACCCTACCATAATCTCCATTCTTTGGGGATTTGCTGGTTTAGCCATGGTGGGTCCCTGGAGTTTCGAAGACAGCATGACCAAGCTCTTCCGCAGGCCATCACGACCGTAGGCGGTCGCAGGCTCTGTGGATCAGAGTAAGATTTGCCACTATGCGACTAGCTTGATACCATTACGGCTGTAGATCCTTCTATCGGTTTACTATTAGGTGGGCTTCCTGATGGAAAAGCCTCACTCCTAAGCTTCGGAGGTGCTGTGGCAATGAATCCCCCTGTTGTACATCGCAGCCCGATACCCAGGAACACCTCCCAGCCACGATGGAGTGGTAAGCCGTTGGGATGAAACGGATCTAATAGGGTCAAAAAATTACTGAATACCGAAATTTAGGCTATTTATTTTACATGTTAATTTGGAGTAAATGAGCTGTGTAGGTTCACATAGCATGTAAACGTGTATATATACACGCGTATAAAATACATAATAAAGCAGCCCACGCAGTGCAGTGAGCAGGAGTCCTCACAAAATTAACGGCCTCTGGCTCGCTCACTCAAAAAAACGAAACTCAAAAATGTAACTGGTAGTACACGAAAGGTTTTAAACGCAAGGACTACGTTCTTCGTAGCTGTGTTGTAGTGACATCTGTATTTCTCGTATGGCAGTGTAAAAAATCTGAAAAATCTAATTTTCAATGGCTTTACTGGCTCACAAGTTGATCTCTACGAATTCTTCCACTTTTCATAAGCAAAAATTTCAAAGAAAAACAGGTAGTACGGTCTTCTCCAAAACCTTGGGAAACCGATAACATCAGATGAGAAAAACCATTGAACGTATGATGTTTCGACAAGTTCCACTCAGCAACTATCATAGCAGGGCCTCAATCAAAACATGGATGAGAAATTTTAAAATACCCAACTGTGCTTCCACTTCCTTGGAGAAAAGCTTCATTTCAGCGTTATCAAAAGCAGAAGGACGTCCGTATTCCAGTCCATGTTTCATTCAGCTCGAAGGTAGCACTAGCCATGACGAAATTTGTCGACCCAACGTTACACTGTGCGTTATTCTACCTTTTTTGGCCTATCTGGAGCCTTTTGCACTGTGCACTTGAGTTTATATTCATAAAATTATATTTATCGAAACAACTTTTTCTATGAACTTGTGCAAAAAAGATGAAGTTGAAAGCTCCTCATTAGTTGACCTACTACCATTCTTCAGGAATTCGCCAAAAACACTTTATCTTGACGGGTGTGTGTGTGGGTGTGTTTGCATTTGTAAATGGTGTATATGTTTATGTGTATCTCTACCTATCCACGCTGTGCGTGAGTACATTTCATGTACGTGAACATATGCGTTTGCGTGTACCGATGTGCACTGGTGTGCACATATACATATATACATTTATATATAAGTATATATATACGTACATATGTGCACTTGTATACATACATACATGTGCATAGTGTACACATATATATGCATATATGTATATATAATGTGCATGTATGTATGTATGCATGTTTGCCTGCGTGTGTGTATGTGTCTATGTATGTATATGGTCGTGCTCCTGTATAAATGTGTAAGTGTAAGTGTAAGTGTTTCTACGAGGTCGTCTCTTAATTTTGAACTTCAGCTGTTAACAGCTCTACTGAAAATGTACTATGAGGAACCCAAGTAGGATCGCTGTTCAGGATTGGCTTTCCCTAAGGGGTATTTTGAGCAGCAATGTAGACCGCATTTAGGATATGTTTGCTGGTTTGTGAATTTTATGCCTTTAAACAAGGTCTCTTAAAGATATAGAAAAACGACTTGTTAGCTCTTCCGACGTTCTTGTTCGCGTAGAGGAAAACGTCATACATTGTCTGCTGACACAAAGGGCAAATTTTGAGTTCATCAATCAGGCTCACAATTATAGGCACAATTGTTGAAGGTTTCTTGCGATCACCAGGTGAAGAAACAATTCATTCGGCTATATATAACGCGATGGCAAAGATCTGTATACACGTTATCACATCCCATATATCACTACTCATCCACTTCTTTGAAACCACCCTGTAGCATCCAAGATGGCGTATAACTTTCCAGATATTCTTGATCCTTTACGACAATTAGTATGCTCAACTGCTTTTTTAAATCGTAGATTTTTCGTCACAACACTGTATACTTATGTTTAATTATGACGGTCAAACGAATTATGTGTTCTATGGCTCAGCTATATACGGCGAAGTACAAAACAACCTATATGCACCAAACTAACGCCGAAGAAAAATTTATTTCAGCTATGCTATGAGATAATCTTTCTTTTTTGATAACGTATTTGAAAGTTAGAGCGCATGAAGTCTATGGTTAGAAACGCCGTGCAGCGCACGTGGGTTCGATCTCGCGTCCCAAGTTCACCAGACCCTGTATTCCTCCTCGGTCGGTAAATTGGTACAAAAGCTCTCTGGGTGAATAGAAGTACTGATTCGATGCATTGGTTTTCTTCGCGAGCCATTATATAGGAGAAACGTGCATCCAATCATCTGTAAAGATGCTTAGTGAAGCCGAATACATGGCGCATCCCTCAGGGAGATCAACGCTGAGAGCTCTTTTCCTTTATCCTTTTTCTTAAGAATTGGATAAGAAATATTGAGAAAGATTTAAGGTTACCAATTTAGGTAATAGCCAAACACTGTTTTGCGTTTTGGAATGTTTCAAGCACCTTTACTAGTTCTCTTTGGTGCGGTGAGTGAATTTTACTCTCCTGATCATTCATTTTCATCACTTCAGTGATATATAGTGCAGTATTTCAGCTCTTGCGGTCTGTCCTGGCCGGCAGTGGATTTGAAAGGCGTAAGTCTTACGAATTTATCTTTCAAAAAATTGTTTTCTTTTCTAACAGCGCTGAATCATTTCCTCATATTGGTGAAAACATAAACAGCATAGTCAGACTTATTTTAAGCGTTTGGCTGCCAAGGAGTGTCAGTGAACGATGAAATGAGACAGGGAATTCTAAATTTGATTAACCGAATACGCTCAGGAGTTGCGTTGGGAGAATTTCAAGCACAGAACTTCCTGCCATCAGCAAATGACATGAACAAATTGGTGATTTTTCTTGTCAACTTTTGGTATTTCTAGTTCAGTTACTATAAAAACAAAATAACTGAACTCAAAGATACAAACATATATGAACACAAAGTTCGGGAGTTCAACAACAACTAATAACTCGTATAATGCTGAGATATTTGCAAAACTCTTCAGACCGCAGGTGTCTGCGGTGGGGAACGAACGCGCTATCGTCGTTTCCAGGGAGTAGTGCGTTCACCACCACACCATGCTGGTCCTTCGTTATAATCCTTACGGAAACGAAGTACCCACATGGTGTGCAGCTGAACGCGTTACTCCCCGGAAAGGACAATAGCGCGTTCGTTCCCCACCACAGACACCTGCGGGTTGGAGTTCTGCAAATATTTCAGTATTATACGAGCTGTGTTTCGCAACATACCCTGCCATTAGAAAAAGAGTAGGCTGAAAATAATAAGTTGAAATTGTGATTACAACTAATATCGTTCGCTGTTCTCTTTGTGAAGAGAAGAAGGAAGAAGGAAGGAAGATTAGCGAATTATTAGTCCAAGCTCGAGGTTAGTATAAAATCGGGGTTAACTACACTGACAAAGATTTACTTTTAAATATTCAACGTGGTCGAATAAGATGGCTTCATACTGCATATTCCAGATGTGGAATTGCAATTTGGAGAGGTCAGCTGAGGCAGCTGTGGTGAACTGCCCTCAAAATCAACCGACGACGGGGAGTCAAAACGCCATGAATTACCTTAGGTAGGCTCTTGAAAATTGTTTTTACGTTTATCTAAAAAAATTTATTACTGTGTGGAAGATTGGTATAAGGAGCAATTGGTATATAGACATTCGCACTTTACACATTTGTCATTTAGTTTCGGTCCAGGCATGCCACCATCCGTTCCTAGCAACCCTATTGAATCGGCAGTGTTGAAATGGGTGGAGATTAATAGTGTGGTGTGGCCAACTGACAACAGATTCAATGGAAACTCGGAATTACGAGATTTTGCTAATGTAAGTAAACTCGATAGCAGATTGAGAAAAAGAAAACCATTGCAGGTTATTTTTAGTTGATTCGCGCAAATTCCGCTTCTGTCGGGTGTTCCATGGCCACATGTGGTAATCGTGCATCCGTCGCATGTATCTTCTCACAACCGTTAGTGACACTGAACAGAACGTTTTTGAATAAAGCCATAACTACTCTAAAAACAGTGTTTCAGCAGCGTAACGTTGCTCACGATAGTATACACGCCAGGAAATCCATGCCAAAATGACGGACAATGCACGAGGTTTAACCCAGGTTATTGTGAAAACGGACTATGCGTGAACGCTGCCAGGCCAGCTACAACAACAACAACAGTTGCACCAACAACCTCTAGAAGAAGAAGCACAGACTGCCCAAGCACTGCATTTACTACTGCATTCAGAGAAACGGCTTTAGGAACTCATAACAACTTCAGGTATTTTACGGTTGTGGTGTAGTATCAATAATAGCAAAAACAGAATAAATTTTAGAAATGGCTTAACGGTAGAAATAAGATCAGTAAACAACGATGTTCCTGTAGGAAAAACAACAAAGTCAGTTCAGATCTCTAGTCGCAAGAGGTTTAGCAAAGAACGGTGAATATGCGAATGAAAATGCACCACCGGCATCACGAATGGACTTGCTGGTATAGCTCTGTGCATTTTCAATTATTATCGTCGTTTTTCCGATGTGGAATTTATTCTACTTTACACCTCTAGGAATATGACTGCGGTGCCGAGCAACTTGCTTTGGACCATGTGAAATCGTGCGATAGACAACTATCACCACCTACTTCTCGCCCTGGTTACAAAGAAAACATTCACATCCTTGAAACGACTGCGACTGACGTTTTGGGAGCGCTGCAAAATGTAAGTGACTGAAAGACGTTTCTAATTAGCAATGAAGGCCTCTGCAGGTATCAGAATTGTGCACTAAGCCGGAAATTCAATTTTTGTCCCCTCACCAATGTCATTGTAGGCAGTTGCAATGTGGAATAAAGAACTGGAAGCGAACGGTATTCCCTCAAATCTGTTACTAACACCTCAAATTTTCCAACGTCAGCAGAAAACGGTCACTAACGTTGCAAAGGTTCGTGGCGCTATTTTTTAAAAGACACGTTACTGGTATTTCACAGCCATCATTTAATGATCTTCACTTAACTAAAAAGATACGATACGGTGCGAGAACTTTCTGCCAGCTTTCTCTAAAAAGCTCGGATGATGACGTGCACTTTTCATCTAATCTTTAGACAGACGAAGCATTTTTCTTTTTGTTGAAAATCAAGCGAAGAAGCCTATAAAACCATAGAAGCTGTTGAATATAGAATGTGTTTTAGATTCTCTGGGGAACGAACAAATATGTCGGATGTGCAACTCAATTGTGTAGTGGATTCTACTTCACTTCCTGCATGTACCGAAAACCGTAAGCCTTCGATCGCTTTCCTTTGGGCAAGAACTGGTTGAATTTTACTAATACTGCTTCAGAGTGAACGTGGCAGGACAGAGCATCTACAGCATTGGTGCAGTGTGTAGTGCCTGCCCTTCGGGCCCTAAGAATTGCAGGGCAGACATTGGGCTCTGCTCCTAGTGAATCCTATGGTTTTAGATCAATTCGTTCTTTTCCAATTTTATATCACTGCCATCTCCGTACTTTATAAAAGCAAAAATTTTTCTTGGAAATGTTCAACAACAATGAATTTTTGTCTCTTCTTCCTTTCTCTACAGGTGAAAAAACTACATTTGTTCTTGTCTGTTAGTAATAAAGGAAGAGAGTTCGTAGTTATCCCCCGCCAGCTGGATGTTGAGATAACAGAGTAACATCTTAGTGATGCTACTCTCTATCGCCCATCCTCTGAAAAGGAATATAAAAGTCAATACCGAAAGCTAAACAATCAATGGGACAGCGTGGCAACGGCTGCGGGTTTAAAATCATCGGTTATTTCGCACTTTAAAATCGATAGACCGACATGTCCCGTCCTATACCTACTTATTAAAACACATAAGTTGGTATCACCTGATGATCATGCGTCAACCAATCCGTCATCATTTAAGGTTAGACCGATCATCAGCTGTGTGGACGGGCCAACGGATAGAATAACCTGGTTTTTAAGCCTAATACTCACCCAGTTGATTAACTACATTCCAGCCCACCTCACAAACACCCAAATGTTCCTGGAACGTCTACGTAACGCGTCTCCCAATAACGCGTACGTGATGGAGTCTTTCGACGTTACCGCACTGTACACCAACGTATCGAATGACTCCGCAATGCAAGCCATCTTCGAACTTCTTGTTGAACATGAAGGAAGAATAAATATGCACGGCTTGTCCATCCAGCAGCTAATGGCTCTCTTAAAGGAGTGTCTAAACTGCTCGATTTTCAGATGGTCTGGGAAATATTTCGCGAAAAAGGGGGTGGGCAATGGGACAGCGATTGGCACCAAGCCTTGCCATTGTGTTTATGTCTAAGATAGAAGCCCATGTTCTCGATCTCCGGCCACTACTCTACTGCAGATATGTAGATGATTGTTTTGTGGTCTTTTTACGCAGGAGGAGATGGACAAATGCTTCGAATTAACGAATGAGCAGTCCGAGTATACAATGTTCATCCGGGAGAAACCGAGAAAAAACTGGCTTCCGTTTTTGGACGTTCAAATAAACCTATCAAGTAGCGGTTACCTGACAAAGTGGTATCGAAAGCCAAATAACAAAAACATTCTTCTTCATTTCCTTTCTTCCCACCCTTCACACACAGAGGTCGATTGTGAGAAACACGTTTCGAACAGCCATCTCTGTGTGCACTACCAGGAAACTAAAGGAAGAGTCGCGCGACTTGGCTCAGCATATAGCCATCTCCAATGGCTATGAAATAGTAGCCCCACGAGATAAGTTTACAAGGAAACGACGCGCCCACGCGAAACACTTGGCCAAAAGAAAATCCCGTTTATGTTGCCTTTTATAAGCGATAAAGTAAGCGTAGCTATAAAACGTTCCTTAAGAAGGGCAGTTCTACAGGATTCGGTAGCGATAGTTGAAATACCACCGACTACTCTACCTCGCCAATTAGTTCGTAACCGCCTGTATGACCGTCTATGTTAAACAAGAAATTGCGTAATTTGCCCTTACGGCAGAGACAGTGATTGCATGAGTTCAGGTACGATATACCTGATCTCTTGTAATAATTGCGGAGATGAATTTATTGGCGAAACGGGCAGACCTTTGTGTATCCGTATAAAAGAACACCTAGATGGCAAACGAAAACTAAGACGAAGCATCCCACTGGGCACGCATAGGATACAAAAGCATAGCGGAGACGATTTTGAAGTAAAAGCCAATATCCTTGCACAGGAGACTGAAACACCAGCGGGAAAACTTATTGAGGCTTTTTGGATAGATGCCAAAAGCCCTACAATGAATAGCAGGGATGAATGCCCGGAGGTCATACGCGACCTGATCCCGTATGTTCGCATCAATTTGTGATGTGGGATGGTGCAGTCGTCAACCACATGCGACTATAATCAGCTGTTCTAAACCTCCTCATTGGAAGGCACGAAAAAGCGGTGGGTTTTTCGAGAAGTTCTTGATCATGTAATTACCAGAGAGTTTTTCGTCTTTTTGTAAGTGTTATTGAAGCGTTTGGCCTAGTAGATTGTATATCAGCACATCCTTTCAGGCTCTGAAGAAGGCGATATTGCCGAAACGTCAGCTGGCGTTGTATTGTATTGTGTTTTTTATGGAAGTAAATGCATGCTGTTTAAAAACCTCGCGATTGCTTTTGCAAGGGTTAAACGACACACTCACATGCTTGATTAAAGGTTCACAGTGATTGCATGACAACTGAATGAATACAGCAACTCCCAAAAGCAATAGACCTAAGTATTTAAGTAAATAATTCTTCTCTCTAAGTCTAATGGCTTCATTGGTTGACGAGAAGTATCACGGCAAGTAACATTCCTGCCCTGTATGAGGTGTGTGCTGACTGCTGCTCCTCGTTGTTTATGAAATAGGCGATTAACGCTAGCCAACATTGCTATGGTCCATAATATTTATGCTGAATATTGCTGGTTGTGCAATGTGTGACAGAGTATTACCATGCAAGAAAAATTGTCTTTTTCTTTCTTCTAATTACTTACACCGTAATTTTTCTAGAATGTTTTTGATGTAGGTACTTCGAGGAGGTAGTTTTGCCAAAGACCAAGAAGTGTCGCAATGTATTTGCGCCTGCCAAAGAAAAACCTATCGCAACCATCTTTTAAAGTAATTTGGGTTTTGAAAAACGTCTAGGAACTCCATCTCATTCGAACATTGAACCACGCCGGTTCTCGTATAAGATACAGCTTTCGTTGTACATCACATCACATGAATTAAGAAGTATCGCGCTTTTATTTTATAAAAAGCGAGCGCAACAATCAATCAACACCCATTCATCAGACGTTTCTAATCTTTATTGCCCTCCATAAAAGGGATGGTTGATATTGAGTCCTCCTAGGCTTAAACAGCTTTGGAGCTGCCACTTAAATTGTCGACTTCAAATGATCGGCATCAATTGCTAGGAATCGTTGCACACCATCTTCGTATTATTCGTCCAGTAGTTCCTCCCTTCACAATAACTTAGTGATCGACTTGCGATGGGCAGCAAAAATGATTATTGCCTAAAATCGGGCTTAGATATCTCCACACGCCGATACACATTCACATGCAACTATGAAAGTAAAAATATACCTATTTAGTACTTGATATGGAATATCGGCGAAAGATTTTTTCTACTTTATGAATGCCGTAAAATGCTAGCCGAGTTGATACCCTTTCTATTCTTGGAGATTGCCGAGCTAAGGGCGCTTCCAAGTGAATTGGAGTAGAGCGTTGGGAACGGATTGGAGCTGCACCTTGCTTCCTGGTGGACTGCATCACTACACATTGCGTTATCTCTCGTCCTGAATAATCCTAGCGCAAGGGCTATGCTTATCTTCGCTGTATTTCTCCAATTTTAGCACGTGTTCAGAAGCGACGTGATAAGATATTGTTGTTGGTAACTGGAAAGGCTGGTTAAAGTTGAAAAAAAAACAATGGGAAACACCACACCAAGTATATGAAAATAAGTTTGCGATGAGTTCTCGACATTCTTGTTGAGCTTTGCGATGAGTATTATTCCTCTTAGCAGACTTATTTTCCAAATGATTGGAAATTATAGAAGTCTTAAAAACAGAAAATGCAAAAAAATCTGCTGCAAAAACCGATTTCCTTCAAACTACATTCAGCACAACTCAGGTCAATGAAATGATCGTCTTAGCACTGGGAATATACTGGCCTGCTGGAGTGGGTTATCTACGTCACTAGACAAGTTTTTAAAATTTTATAGAAGTAACCACTTCATAGACTCCCTTGACAATCACGTAGCAGATAACGTCACACACGTCACTGTGTGCTGACGCCGACAATAACGCCTCGATTCATCAATCGGTTGGAATGGTGTAGACACAGCTGCAAGCGTTTCTTTAGGACCGGAAGTTAATGAAATAGTTTATCGGACAATATATAATCCGTTAGCGAAGGTTCACAACTATGCTAACACACATCCTAGCCCCCATCGTCTGATTGAATTTTACGGAAGTATTTGTATTACGACCTTACTGATTTAAGTATTTGTTTCTGATAATCTAACGAAATATGTTAAGTCATAAAATGGCAAACTGCTGGGTGTTGACCGATCCTCGAGGGATGCACGATGCACTCGATTCCACGTGTCTGCTATTTCCTCGGATATGTCTGGTACCAATTTTTCGACCCCGCAGAGATGGAAGGTTTGGTGTGCTCAGGGTACGAGATCGAACAAACGAGCATGTGTGTACTCCAGGTCACCTCTAGCCGCCACGTTAGAGAGACACGCTACATATGCTGTCTTATAGACTACTTTTCCTAAGGTTTTTGGTGGCACCGTTTTAATACTATAGCCTTTGATCGACACCTGAAATTGAAGGCAGCCGGTTTTAGAGCGGAAGAACCATTCACATTATTTCCAACGTATTCTCTTTATATGGATTTCTAAGTGTTCCAGAAAATGTAGTGAATGCCTGCTTACAACTTAGATGCCTTGAGTGAACAACTAACTTAGTGCAATCTAAACTTCAATTAGCCTAAAGTACGGAATCGATTTTTCTCATTTCATTTCAAGAGATTAAATTAAAATAAACCTATATCTGAATTGCAGTGCAATGTCACCAAATTCGCCGACAACAGGATACCGTACACCTTGCAGAATGTTTCGAGCAACACTTCTAGTTTTCTTCTTAGCTGTGAGTGAACGTTTTCGTCTTGTGCATCTCTCTCATATACTTAAAAAAATGCAGCGAAATATTTCAGCTACTGCAACCTTGCCTTTCTGGCGGCAAATTTGAAAAGCGTAAGTGCCAATTTTTTGACCATTTGC